ATTCTCGGCGGAATACTACGCCAAGTTGTACATCAATGAAATTGTGAAGTTGCATGGGGTTCCATTATCTATCATATCGGATAGGGGTACTCAATTTACTTCACATTTTTGGAAAGCATTCCAAAAAGGGCTCGGTACCAATGTTAAACTTAGTACCGATTTCCACCCTCAAACGGATGGTCAAGCGGAAAGGACCATTCAAACCTTGGAGGACATGTTAAGGGCATCTATCATTGACTTCAAATGTAGTTGGGATGACCATCTCCTTTTGATAGAATTTGCCTACAATAATAGTTACCACTCAAGCGTTGCCATGGCTCCATTTTAAGCACTTTATGGTAGAAGGTGTAGATCACCGGTGGGTTGGTTTGAAGTAGGTGAGTTTGCTCTTGTTGGTCCCAAACTAGTGTATGATGACATTGAAAAAGTTTGACTTATTAGAGAAAGGTTGAAAACAGCCCATAGTTGGCAAAAGTCTTATGCCGATAATAGAAGGAGGGATCTAGAGTTTGAAATTGGTGATTGGGTATACTTGAAGATTTCACCTATGAAAGGTGTTATGAGATTTGGCAAAAAGGGGAAGTTAAGTCCCCGATATGTGGGTCCATACCATGCCTTGAAACGTGTCGGGAAAGTGGAATATGAGCTAGATTTACCAAGTGAATTCACCCCTGCTCACCTGGTGTTTCATGTTTCCATACTTAAGAAGTGCATTGGTGATCCGGTATCCATCCTTCCTTTAGAGGGTTTAGGAGTTGATGGAAGTCTTTCTTATGAAGAGGTTCTGGTAGAGATTTTGGACCGGCAAGTTAAGAGGTTGAGAAACAAGGAAATAGCTTCCATTAAGATTCTATAGAGGAATCGCTTAGTTGAGGGTGCTTCATGGGAAGCCGAAGCTGATATGATGTCCCGTTATCCTCATCTTTTTCCTCCTACTCCTATTCAAACTTGAGGAAAGTACATTCCCCTTGAGTAGTTAGTGTTTTGGGGATCATGTGTATTGTATGAGTTTTGCATGATTTTCCTTGTATTTGGCATGTTCTTGATGAAATTCATGTTTTGTATAAATTGAGCTTTCATGGATTATATTTGTCTCATGTTGAATTGCTTTTGATTATGATGATGGCATATGTGACATCATGAGATGAGTTGATGAACATGCTTAGCTAAGTTGTGATGAAATATCATGTTAGCTTAAGATTGTTATATTGAGCTTGCTCGTGTTGGAGAAGGCAGTTCCTCCCATGTTTATATGAAATGGTAGATTTGGTGCATAATGAGATTGTGGATGTAGTTTCCACTTTTTCTGTTGCATTGAGCTTATGATGTGGAGTTGATGTTTCCTCTTATGATTTGTGCATTTTATAGATATGTCTTGTATGATGGGTTGCTAGTTTTGAGTCTTTAATCCCTTAATACATTTAAAGTGTCATTCGAGGACGAATGTTCCTAAGGGGGGATAATGTAACAACCCGAAAAATCAATAGGCTAGACTAGAGCCTCATCGTGTGGAATGGCATGACTTAAAGTTGGTGTCTAGGTTGAATTAGAACTAATGTGTCTGTTTATGTAACTTAAAGAGATGTTTTAGACCAAACTAAAGCTAAAATAAGGGAGGTAAAGATTTAGGGTGAAGTTGGGGACTTAAAATATCTAGGATGGGTGAAGGAGAACTTGTTCTCTCTTTGGATAGGTTGGTGAAGGGCAGCATGGTCGCCCAAGTGCTTTGGCGATGCGCCAAAGTGCACTTGGGTCGCCTAGTGGGCTGTCCCACTTAGCCTAAGTGTTGGAGAAATGGGCGAGCTAGGTCGTGGGTCTCCCAATGGGTTGGTGATCCGCCCAACAGACCCCTCCCTTCGCCTAGTGAGCTGCCCATTTTTGGAGCTCACTGGAAATTTGGGAGAGCCAAGGGTTCACTTGGCGAGTCGCCTAGTGCCCTTGGCGAGCCAAGAGGGTCCAATGGGCGAGTTCCAGCCTGAAGTCCATAATTTTCAAGTATTAAGTAGAGGTCTTTAAGTAATCTTTCCCAAACCTGAACCAACACTTTCCCACTCTTTTCCTAACAAGTATATATACTTTTTAAGGTCAAATTACTTCAAATATAGTTACTCCCACTTAATAAAAGAAGAAACCCAAGAACATCAAAATATTCTCTCTCTAAATCCATTGAAGAACAAAGAAGAAACTCAAGCTAGGGGATTCAAGAACAAGTCTTTCTTCTCCAAATTCATGAGGGATTCAACCTAAGGTATGGATGCTCTTCATTCTTGGGTAGCTATCCCCCAAGAAGTCCCTTCAAAGTGTGTTTTCTAAGACTCCCAAAATCTAGGGCTTTACTCCATGCATGGGTCTTCTTCCAAAACAATTTATGTTGTTCAATTATGATTTATTATGACTAATTATGGTTTATGATTAGATTGTTGTGGAATTGATGGTTTTTGATGAAACTCTCTCTTGGACCCATGGTTTCCCTTTTCTTCCTAAATTGTGAACTAAGATGTGACTTGATTGGCCATGGAAATTGCTAATTGATTATGTTATGTTTATTAAGTTGATGTATCATGAAATATCTCTATTCAATGTTGTAATTCACTAAGTTTGGGTTGATGTTGGTTCATGGCCTTGAAGGGCAATTGGCTAGGGTTTGTATATGTTGATATTGATTTTAAATGAGTATGTGATTTACTTGGATGGTAATGATCCTATATCTAATGTTGTGGTATTGATGTAAGATCCTTCTTCCCTATGCCCTATGCACTTGATTATGTATGAAGTATGTATCTATGCTTATAATGAACTTGTTGGGTTGATTGGAAGAACATTCCCATGATCACAATCTGACTACAATGTGAAAGGGTACTCACATGCTAGTGTTTCCAAAGTGAAAGGAGCATTCTCACTTAAGGAACCTACGATGATATGTTGACATGACTGTCTAATACACTCTCTTATGACTATGAACCTAAGCTAGTGGATCCACCTATATAGCTAGAATGTACGTTCTACCTTAGGCAAGTAGAACATCTCTTTTCAGTGTGGGGGTAGAACACCGGATTCCATGTAGCTCACATGGTCTATGTCGGTTAATGCAATATTCCCCTAAAATAATATGAATGTGAACTATGGTAAGGAAATGGACTTTAACCATGACCTCTTAAGTGGTGTTACTTGGTGTGAGTGGGGTTATGGGACTTCACTTATGCATTGCACGAGTCAGCTCTAACAGGGGTTAGGGTAAGGTTCTCTTATGTTATGATGGTATGATGACTTGTGAACTATGTATGAAAAGTATGTATGAATGTCATGAATATGAATGTCTTCACTCTTACGTATGTTGGCTATGACTATGGTAAGATATGTATGTTGTTGGTGACCCAAATGTGATACTTAACATTTGGTAGGGCTATGGGATCTTACCTTTGCATTGCACTAGTGTGGCTTTGGGTTGCTCATATATTGAATTGCCTTATGTATCTTCATAAATGTGCATATTGGTTTTCAAACTTGACAAAGGCATGACTTCAACTAAATGTATTATGGATGTTGTAAGGTTTTTGTGCATGGTATCCATACTTAGTACAATTCATTGTGCTAACCCATATTTTCTAATTAACTATTAGTGTAGGTTCCGGTCGTTGATACTACTACTACTTCTTCAAGTGAAGCTTGGGTCGACTATTCCCTAGGCTTGGTGAGTCCTCAAGTTCGAGGATAAGTTGCTATTGATTCTAGTTTGTTGTTTACTTCCTATGTTCTAGACTATATTGTATTTCCCATTGTTGAGGACTTTATTGATGTAAAGGGATTCGACCCTATGTGTACTCTTATTTTCTAGATGGTGATTGAGACAAATCTAGTTCCTATTTTCCTTATAAGAAAGAAGTTGACTTCTATTGTAAAGGATTTTAATTTCTCCGTATTTTTCTATGTCCTTATGTAATGATGAATGCTAAGGGCTTGTATACGATCCCTTCGGGGTCAATTACGCCGTGTTACTTCTAGGGGGTAGCTCAGGTCGTGACATGCTTTGGAGTGAGTACAATAGCCATCAAAAATATATTTTTCAGATTTTTCATCAAGCTTGTGACGAGCTTGTGACCTTATCAATGCATAAGCAACGCACCTATAAACCCGTAAATGACTTACATTTGGTCTCCTACAATGCCAAGCTTCATAAGGAGTTTTATTCATAACAACTTTTGTTGGGGAAAGATTCAGCAATAAACAGATGCTGCCACAGCTTCTGCCCAAAACTGATTTGCGAGTTCCTTTGCTTGCAACATGCTCCTTGCCATCTTCACCACCGTCCGGTTCTTCCATTCAGCGAAGCCATTTTGCTCTGGGGTATAAGGAGTTGTTAACTCCATATGAATGCCATTTTTTTCAGAAAACAAATTGAATTTGTTGGACACAAACTCTCCTCTTCTATATGTGAGAAGAACAGTGATAGTGCAACTACTTTGGTTCTCTACCAAAGTTTTAAACATCTGAAACTTTTCAAAAGTTTCTGACTTGTTTTCCAGAAAATACACCAAACTCATGCGACTATAATCGTCATTAAACAACAAGAAATAACGACTTCCACCTAAGGACTTAGTTTGCATAGGACCACATAAGTAGGCATGTATTAATTCTAAAGAAAACATTTCCTGGTTTGTTTCCCATAAATGCACCATTCACATAAATCAAGAAAACTATTTTCTGCTAGTCCAAGAACCATACCTTTATCACCTAGAAATTTAAGGCCGTTTATGTTGAGATGACCGTACCTCAAATGCCACAACTTTGAGTTATCCTTTGCACTTGCAGCAAGGAAAAAAATTTCCATGCAAGGGAAATTTTTTCCATATCAGAAACATCCAGCAGAAACACCTTATTTGGCGTCATAGTGATATGAATCTTCTCGCCAGACTTCTTACTTGTAATGACACAAGCATCATCATCAAACCAAAAAGAATATCCATTGTTCATTAGTTGCCCAACACTTAACAAATTATATCCTAAATCTGGTACAAATTGAACATATCTATCATGTTTACTTTGTCTTGATTAGTGTCAATGCTCACCATGCCTTTTCCTTCAACTAGTAACTCTTTTGTATTTCCAAGATGCACCATTTTAATTAGCTTCTCGTCAAGCACATGGAACAAAGATTTGACACCTGTCATATGATTTGAACAACCACTGTCTACAAACCAATAATCACTTGGCTTATAGTCTGTATCAATGCAAGCCATAAAAAGATAATCTCTTCCTTGTTTTTTGTAGCTGCAAAATTTATTTTCTGATCTTTATACCAACTGTAACGCTGACAGTGATGACATTGAATGCCATTTTTTGTTTTACCTTACTCATTGGACTTCCTTTGTCCATCATTCCTTCCTCTGCCCCTTCTATAACCATGACCTCGACCACCGCAAAATCCTCGTCTTCCTCGACCTGGGCCATTATTTTCTCCATATTTGGTGGCTGAATCTTCAACTTGGAATGCCTTATCTTCATTCTTTTCTGTGGATTGTTTAATTCTCGTCTCATGAGCTTGAAGAGATCCCATGAGTTCATCAAAGGAAAAGACGGATAGATCCTTGGATTCTTCTATCGCAACAACTACGTGATCAAATTTTGGAGTTAGGCTTCGCAATACATTTTCCACAATGATCTGATCATTTACCTTTTCTCCGAAGGATTGCATTTGACTGACAATTGTCGTTGCTCTTGACGAAAAACAAGCAATGGATTCTCCACTTTTCATCATCAAGGTTACAAAATTATGCTGAAGTGATTGCAGTCTCACCACAATAACTTTTGAATCGCCTTGAAACTCTTTCTTGTGAATCGTCCAGGCTTGTTTGGATGTGGTTACTGTTGCTATCCGTGAAAAAACACTATCATGAACATCCTGTTGAATAAATACCAACGCTTTAGCAATTTTTGCCTTGTTGCCTCGCAACTTGTTTTCTTCGTTGGGATCTACAAATCCACATTCTACCAGGTCCCAAAGATCTTGAGATTTGAGTATACTTTTCATACGGATACTCCAGAATTCGTAGCTTTCTCCCTTGAAGACAGGAATGAGTGGTTGTGCCACACTCAATGCACTATTGCTACTTGCCATGGCTCTGATGCCAAATTTGTTGGTGAAAGAGTACAGAGAAATCTAGAAATAATAAAAGAAAGAAGGAAAACTCCAACTACTTTTGTCTTCTGGTTAATTGGAAGTACGTAAATAACAAAATATGACCACATGATATATAGGCTAAGAAATAAACATCTAATCCAAAAATATTGGTCTTGTAACCCACTATGACACTTAATTAGCAACACTAATAAAACTTGAGTAAATATAGGAAACTACTTAACAAAGACCAAAAGACTAGTTCTACTAAATTATCCATGTCCAATTCAGTCAATCGTTTTCAATCACTCTTTAACAATATATATCTTTAAGGAAATACATTAACCCTTTCTGTAGGCATGATCTGGGTTTTAGGGTAGAATAGCCTTCAAGAATCTAAGTGAAATTGAACTCCTCTTGTAAAATCCCATAATTTTTTTATGTCTAAGTAAAGTATTTGAGAAGGAGCATTTTAGACAAGACAAAGTTAATTGTCCTATCAAATTGTTAGCTCCATTTAGATTGTTGGAATGTTATGTGAACTAAATGATCATTTTTAAAAAGGACTATCAGACTAACCCTAAAAACTAATCATCACTCGAGAAATCACTTTCTTTTTCCTAAATTTAATGCTCAATGATTAATAAAACAATCTCTTCCAGATTCTCTATATATGGATGTTTGTGATGATAAGAATATTTATATATAATAAGTTTGGCTATAACTATATAACCTTACCATTCACCTCATTCATAAGGGAATTTTTTTAAAGGGATTAATATCCGAAGAGAAATGATTGAGGGGAGAATCTTAGATAAGATGAAATTAGGGATTTGTCAATATTGGCTTCATGCAGATTGTGTAATGGACCATGAAATAATTAAATGATAATTACAAAATAAAAATGTTAGACTAAACCTAAAAAATAACTATCACTCGGAAAATTGCCTCATTTTCTAGCTTTCGTAAAATTAACTAGATAATAAATTTCAGAGCAATATTTTCTTCCAGATTCTTCATGAATGTGTATTTATCAAAATAATACATTATTCTTTTGGTAGAGTGAAAAGTAATAATAACAAGAACAATATAATCAATAAAATTGCATTAGGTGGGGTCTGAATAGGGTAGAATGTATGCAGACTTATCACTATCTTGTAGAGGTAGAGAGGCTATTTTCGAAAGACCTTCAGCTCAAGTACATTAAACCCAAGTGAAAGAAGGAAAAAATAATGAAAAACAAATATAGCAATCGATAAGAAAAGTAGTGTATAGTTGGTACCTCTATTAGTGTTGAGGGATTGTGTTGGTATATTGGGTGATGTGGATGGGCGACGCCGATAAACATGAGTAATGGGTGGTCAACTATTTAAGGAGAGAGGACAAGTAGAGCGGGCAGGGAGTTGGCTTTGAAATAAGAAGGGAGGTGGTAGGCTATTAACAACAGATGATTGTTGATGTATAGCAGGAGAAGTAGTTGGAAGATTACCTGGTCTGTCAATGATGAAGTGATCAGACTATGGGGTGGTCCTTTGTGCGGAACAAAGTGAGCATAAATCGTGGCGTGTGTCTCGCACCAACGTAATGGTGGGGGGCAACAACTGGAGAGCTGGAGGAGTATCATTTGAAGTATTGTCCATATCAGTATTAGTAGGATTGAAAGTATGTTCCCAAGTCAAATATGTAAAGTTCTGTTGTACGGTAAAAAACGTATTATCAAATGGAAAGATATCCTCTACAAATTTTACATCTCGTGAGAGGAAAACATTAGAGCTTTTGGGGTCAAAACACTGATGGTAATGATGAGTGACAGGAAAATCGAGATAGACACAAGGTCTGGAATACGACTCTAATTTGTTTTGGGCATATGGTTGTAGCCATTGATAGCATAAACAACCAAATATACGAAGTGATTCATAATTTGGAAGTTTATTGAAAAGAATTTCAAAAGGGAACTTGTGATTAAGAGTGGTGGTTGGGAGTCGATTTATGAGAAAGGCAACATGATGGCAGGCAAAGGTCCAAAAGTTTGAAGGTAGACTTGCTTGATGAAGCAGTGCTTTGGTAGTCTCGACAAGGTGTCGATGACGTCTTTCAGCTAATGTGACCCTTTGAGGAGTATGAGGGGGAGAGACAAGGTGTTGTATGCCATTGGAATTAAGGCATGGTTCTAGGACTTGATATTCTCCGCCTCCATCAGTGTAAAGTGTGAGTATTTTGTGACCAAAATGTTTTTCAAACACATGATGTAAACTTTGAAATATTTGTTGAACTTCATGTTTTTTTTCATTGTGTACAATCAAATGTATTTGGTGTAGTGATCAACAAATAAACAATAATATCTTGTTTTTGTCAATAAAGAGAACCGGGGAGGGTCCCCACAAATCACTCTAGATGATTTCTAATGGAAAATTACTGGACAATGTGGTTGAATAAAAGTTAAATTTGTGTACTTTATTGCAACAACAAGAATTACACGCAGTGATCTTATCTTTGGAAGAATATGAAAGATGAGAATTATTTAAAATAGAAAATAAAATGCGAGAATGGGGGTGGCCCAATCTAAGATGCCACAGATATAATCAAGGTCCAGCAGAGGCGATGTTGATATTTGGTCGAGACAGGGATGACCATTCGTATAGTCCAGCTTTACTCGGCCAGCAGAGAAGAAGAGTTCTCGTAGTTAGATCCTTCACAAGAAAGGTAAAAGGAAAAAATTAAATTGAGGTTAGATTGTCTTTGCAAAACTAATTAACAGAAATAAGCTTGCGTTTGATGGCAAGAGCATACAAAATATTAGAGAGTTTGAAAGTAGTATTCGATACATTTAAATGAGTATTACCAGTTTGCGTGATTGGAATCACATTACCATTAGCCAAGGTCACTTCCTCGGCCCCTTTGAAGTCCTGAACATTGTTGAGGTAGTTGGTGTCGGCTGCAATATGGTGAGATGCACCCGAGTCGACAATCCAAGGTTCATTTGGCATCGTGTGCGCAACAAAATTTGCTTTTGCTTCAAAGTGGTTATGGGACCAGGAGCGGCAAACATTTGTTGTATACCCAAATTTGTCACAAAGTTCACAACGAATTTGTGAGGATTGGTGTAGAAAGTTATGCCCTTGAGAGTAATCGTTTGAATGCTGGAAAGTGGCACTTTGATTATGTTGTTTGTTTTGGGTACGCCCATTGTTATTGGTGGGTTGGCGGTGATGGTTGCGTTGGGCCGATGAAGTATTTGTGACACGCTGAGCAACAGATGTTGTGACCTGGGTGGCAGTCCTCTTGAGGTCCTCATGTTTGAGGAACATTTCATGATCAAGAAGCTTATCGAAAAGTTCAGCGTAGCTAATGGGAGAGTCACGTGCCCGTATCGCAGCTGAAATCTCACGAAATTTAGGACCGAGTCCACTCAATATTTTCACCACTAGTTCTTCATTATTGATAGGTGAACCTGCTGTGGTGAGTCCATCAGAGAGAGAACGAATCTCTCGCATATATTCAACAATTGATTTGGTGTCTTCGCTTACCCGACTGAGATGGTGACGGAGGCTGAAGATGTGGGTTTGTGATTTGTTCGCAAAGGAGGTGTGAAGTAGATTCCACACAGTTTTAGAGTTGGCCGCAGATGGTACAGTGGATAAGATAGTGGCATCAACATAGGCCATGAGAGCATTTTGGATGAGTTTGTCTTCACGAAACCAATCTTTGTACTCACGGTTGGTTATCACAAGGCCATCAGTGGTGACTGTTTCGGGAGGGGACAACTTAGTCTCGTCAAGATGACCATAGAGGTCATGGCCATGAAGCAGCATGGAAATCTGTGCCTTCCAAATGGTGAAGTTATGGTTGCCACACAGCTTGATGGGCAACTGAGATGACACTCAATAATTAAGACTTATGTCACCGTCATTTTATTTTGACACTATAATTCAAAGCCCATACTCTCCATCCCTATCACTTTTTATCTTTTTCAAAACTGATTTTCAACTTCAAAATTATATTGCCTAGACGTTTCTATTTCTTCATCCTTACCATTCAGCAAATAGACATAATCGTATCTAACGCAATTGTCAATAAAAGTTATGAGATACTTTTTCCCACCACGAGATGATGTTGACTTCATATCACAAATGTCAGTGTAAATCAACTCAAGGGGTTAAAATTCCTTTCAACAAATTTATAAGAATGCTTAGCATACTTAGATTCAACACAAACTTGACATTTTTATTTATTGCACTCAAAGTTAGACAAAACTTCTAAGTTGATTAGTTTTCCTTGCAAGGTTTTGTAATTGACATGTCCCAAGTGTTCATGTCACAAACAATTTGACTCAAGCAAGTAAGAACAAATATTATTTATCATTCTAATAAAGAATTTATAATGTTAACAATTATGCATAGGTAAAGAATCTAGAAGAAAAGATTGCTCCTAAATTTATCATAAAGTTAATTTAAGAAAGCTAATTATAAAAGGGGGTGATTTCTAGAGTGGTAGATAATTTTTTGATTAGTTTAAAAATCCAAGAATAATAAATAAAAAAACTTTACCTAAAAAAAATCAGAAACACCCTAGAAAAGTAACAATTAAATAGCACACAGATATAACACCCCAGAAAAAGTGACAATTAAATAGCGCGCACACACACACACATATATACATAGGAATCAAATGAGCAAAAACATAAGTGAAAAAATCATAGACAAAAACAATACACAAAGTCAGCATGCACATTAGCAACTTAAACAAAGGAAGTTATTCTGAAGTCAGCATAGTAGAGCATCTTAAAACTTGTTTTTTTCTCCTTCTAGAAAGACTACATAGTTCCCCATAAATTCAAGGTTTGATTAGCTATTAAGCCAAAAAGTGTTTTCAATAAGGAGATCATTTGTCTCTAAGTCGCGTTCTTTCTCTTCGACAATTATCATTCATCTAGATGACTTTAAAAATCTGTCTACTTCTATTATACAAGAGCAAGTTCCTTTTACCCATGGCAATTGATA